ATATTACAAAATCTCTACATAATAGTTACATCAAAACCTTAGATTTATAATCGAGTAACTTAAGTTCACACTTGAACCTAAACTACAAAATTAATATACATATCCCAAAATCTTCAGCCAAGACTACTTTTTAGCCAGACTCCTCAATAGGTAATTTAGACACTTCACCTGTTACTCCTGCTCACGTATCATCGTACAACCATTGCAGCATAAACACACAAGAACAAAAACAAACACAAGGGTGAGCTTATTTAAATAAAGATCATAATTACAAAATATGAACATAGCAAAATCATTTGCACAACACTTATGGTTTACAGCAATTTCAATCAATTAATGCAACATGTCCAGCCCCTTTCCCAGCCCATCTAATGCAAATACAGCGATTCAGTTTTCATTTAATTTCACAGCCTAAGTAATTCAGAAGCACTGTTTCGGTATAGGAGCGACCCATTCCAGTATCTGAATCCAAACAAGCACAACTCATCATTTTATGCAACTTTGAAATGATGAAAATGAATGTGGTGCAGCACGGTTAAATCAATATAATACAGCAGAGTTAAATCTAATTTCAGATTTATCCATACAACAATGTATTCATTTTCATCTAACATTGATAGCACACCCATACATATATTATCACAGCAAAACCAAGCATTTCACAACATTAATTAAACATTCTAGCACTTATTGCATAATAAAATTAAGTCGCTTAAAACATTATTTAAGTATTTCTGCGTATTTAACATCCTCGACATATATAACATAACATTATAACACATCATATTCTACCACTACTTTCCAAACAATTATCATATAGCAGAGAAATATACTCAACCATACCTACTTTGGGTTTTACCGTAAAACTTGTTCATACAACAACTGGTCCTTATCTAATATGAAATTATCTATCTATGAACCAAATCAGCTTAGTTAAGCAACTGAGAAATCTACTCAGCTATATTACTTTGGGTTTTAATTTAGAATCTAACCATTCAACGACTTATTCTTAGCTATAACAGAACTAAGTTCACAATTAACTTCGTAATTATTAGATGAATAAATCGGCTTAGATAAGCTCCTCTTACCTGGAATGAGTTCCAAGGTCTTGCTGATGGGACATATTTTATTGTGTAATTACATATCATTATAGCCCTAATTACTGTCACATTTAAGCTTAATTTTGTGGTAGTTTAATGTTTGTTAACTGTCATTTGAATTGTGGACTTAATTGCAAAACTAATTAAATTTCATGTTTATTGGCAGTTTGACCTTTGCTCAGTGCTAAGGACATATCTGGAGCTATGGGACTCCAAATCGAGCGATTCCAAGTGCATTGTAAAGCTAAGAGGCAAAACTATAAATGTCTCTCTCACGTGCATTGTCCAAATCCAACTGGAAGATGGCCAAATTTGAGGTCGAAAAATCACCACGGAACCTGCCTTGCACATGTCCGAATTTGGGTTTTGTTTTGTCATATTTTATTTTTAGTTTTGGCCCAATTTGGAATGCTTCTAGAAGATCCAATGAGTGGGTCCAGATTTGGACGGGGGAATAACCCTAATTGAAAAAAGCGCCAGCACAGTGAATATAGATATTTTTTTTTCGGCATACTCAATATTTTTTTTTTCGGACGTAACTTCTTTCGGTTGAATTCATGATAGCTCTCGGATTCTTCTTGTTTTTCTTGGATAATTTTCAAATTTTATTTCTAATTCCAATTCAGGTTCTCCAATTTACGCTCGCGTAACTCTTCTTCCTCCTTCAATTTATGCTTTAAATATTTTCAATTTAGATTGGGTGTTGTTCTGTGTTCTTGGTTCCATTTTTCGGTTTTTGCTCCCTTCACTTCTTTGAATCTTGCTGTTTAATCATTTGCTTGTTGATTACAGTTTTAGGTTATATTGCTGTTTTGATCTCTTGGTTATAAATTCTAGTTTTTGAATTTGTAAGTTTACATTTTGTTTATATTCCGGTTCTAATTGATTAGCTATGGAGTAGATTTTGAGTTGATTCACTAATTGGATTATGAATTGTATGTCCGGATTGTATCTTGTTTTGCTTCACCAATTATTGTTGTTAATCTCTTGATTTAATGCTTAATTGATTTTTTGAATCTTGCTTAATGAATCAGAATGTTATTTCGGTTGGATTCATGGTAAAATCGAATTCACAATTATGCTTAGTAAATGTTGTTTTGGTAAAACCATGTATTAAACCCGGGATTAGCTTATGCAATGTTTAATTGTAATTTCTCAATTTAATTTTCGCTTAGTGGATTGAGTTGAGAAGCAAGATTAGTGAATGAAATTAATTAATGTCAATCTGGTGCAAGCAATTCGTAATCTTGTTAAGTGAATCAATATGTTGCATTTTTAGATTTGTTAGTGTTTCATTCTGTTTTGCCAACAACTGTGTGATTTGAATTTTGTTTGAGTTTTGTTTAAAATTTTTGATAAAAACCCCCATGTTTGCTGTTTTTAATTTTGGTTTGTTGAATCTTTGACCAAATTCGTTGTTCCTTGGGAGACGATCTAGGTCGACCCCTAGCTACATTTAATTGCAATATTTTTGACTGAGTACGACATTCATCACTTGCTCCTAGTGAATCCCAAGGAGATAGATCGAACGCTTGAGTATGAGATACGACTCGAATGATTCAAATCTATATTTTATCATTCTAGAGGCAAGGTACATGTTTAGGTGGTTAAATATGTAATGATAGGAAAAATGTTGAGTTGTGCAATGCTATGTCTAGATCCAAATACCAGGATGGGTTGCCTTAAACCAAAAAATTGTAGGTTCCTTCTGAATTATTTGAGTTGTGAAACCATTTGGAACTAAGTTGTTACATTTGCATTAGATGACCTGGGAAGAGGCATAATTGCTGCATTCCTTTGCTGAGCATTTTGATGTATTAAGTTGTATATATAATCACATTGTATTAATATTATGACTATGACTATATGTTGTATAAGCTCACCATTGCATTTTGTCTGTGTTGGTGTGTGTGTTGCGATGATTGTATAGTAATACGTGAGCAAGCATGACAAGTGGTGCTTCCACTTCTCATGTTGGAGGGTCTGGCTGAGGAGTGATCCAAGCCTGACATTGTTTTTTACATCTATAGCTTTGTTTTTTGTTAGTCTAGGTCTTAGTTATGAGTTTAGACTATTTAGCTACATATTTGGTCATAGAATGTAATAATTTGTTTTTAACTTTGTATTCTTTTGAGCTCCATGCCAAGCAGCTCTTGTAAATATGGCTAAGCGAAGATTATATGTATATATTCAAAAGTTTATGATGATGCCCTTGAGGCCCTGCTTTATCATCAAAGTGTGAGTTCTCTTTATTTTTCATTAATCGTTCTGAGTTAAGTTTCGATTCTTCTTTCTTTAAATGGATAAAATTTTTATAGGTTATATTGGATAATGTGTCACAAATCCTTCTCAAAAAGGGTTATGACATACTGGATACTAATTATAGTTGAAATAGAGGTAATTTTACATTTAAAGATTTATTAAATATTTATTTTCTTATTAATCCTTACAATATTGAAATCAAGTCTCTTTGTTTGTCCTCCCTAACCTCCTTTCCTTTAACCATCATTTTCTCAAAACATCACCATGTTTTTCCTAATTTCAACCATCTCAATGACCAAAGCACCAGTACCATAAGCTCATTGTGCCTCACCTTCCCTAATCTCACTATACACCGTAAAACTCCAAACAAATCGTCCATTAATACTACTAACCACTACCACAAACCCACCATCCCATTGTTGTAATTTTTGCAACAAATGACCCTGAATTAACATTACCACCTAAGCAAAATTAACATAGCACTACAACCATCAACCTCATTCAAACTCCAATGAAATTATCCCCATAATCATGACATTTCTTCTTGCAATGAGTTTGGCTCTCAACAAAATTGGCTCCATTAGTCACCACAATTTTAAAGTGATATCTACTTGTTTTGATGTAGATTCTAATGGAGAGTCTAAAAATGACATTGTGGTGATAGTATAGACAGTTGAGATGAAGAAGAAAGAGTCAGGCATGGTGAGGACATGAGTAAGTGAATTGGATAAGGAAGGAGGAGGCAATGAAAATGCTAACACTAAGACTTTGTTTGAATGTTTAGTAGAGGAGGAAAGGAAAGAGTTTAAAGGGAAATGAAGGGAAGGAGGGGAGGAGAAGAAGGTTAAATTACTCACTTGTTTGGATGTTTAATATTGAAAGGAAAGGGTGATGAAAGTTTAATTATATAAATGACATTATTATCCTTTATACCATTCATTCATATTTTTTAATCTTTTTTTATTTTTTAAAATAATACAAAAAATTAAATATTTTTCTCTCTCTAAAAATTAATATTATTAAAATTAAAATTTTTATTTTTTATAATTTTTTTAAAAAATTCTCAATTTAAAAGCTAATATATTTTAAATTAGAATTATCAAAATTAAAATTTTATTTTTATAATTTTTTAAAAAAAATCTCAATTTAAAAATTAACATATTTAAAAAAATTATAACCCTAATCGTGAAAAAGCGCCGAAAAGTGGGAGAGAGAAAAACTCTCCAAAATAGAAAACTCAAAAAAAGAGGTTAGAAAAACCCTCTAACTCTTTTTTTTTTTTCTAATTAATTAAACTTTTAAATAAAAATTAAATTTCACTAACTTCTCGCTTCTTAAACATAACATCCAAAAGCAACCTAAAGAGGATGAAGAAAGTCATTATTTGCATTTGTGTAATAAGTATTTGATATATCTAGGATACTTTGCAAGAGTAGAGAGGCGACTGGGCACCACAAGAAAAATTTGGTGAGTTGTCTCAGTTAAAAAATTATAGGCTAAAAGTTGTCTTCTTAAAACAAAGCTAATTTAATATTTACAATTTATAGTTAAATTTTTGTACTGTGTAACAACTTAGAATATATAGAAAATTCTCACCGATATCACAATCTATAATTAAATACCATTAAAAGATTTACACTAACAATTCATTCCAACTAAATTCATTTTGTAGAGAGTTAAAATCACTTTTAATCAATAAGAGGAGGGATACATGATACATACACGAATTAAAAATGAAATTTCAATTTGCAACTATAACACCATCAAGCAAGGTCATTCTTTATCAATGTGTTCCACAAAAATTGTATCATACTTTTAACATTTTAATAATATATTTGCAGCTTGTAATAGCCGTGTTGGGCCTCCTGCTTTACAAGAAGCATATATTCAGAGTGGTTGAAACCTGATTCAAACCCAGTAAACTTGAACTTTCCAAATTTTCCCACTCATATACAACAGACAGTCTTGAGCTCTGGCATACTCTCCCAGAGGTTCTTGATTGATTGTTAACACACTTCAAGGAAGTTCAATTAGACATGGACTTTGACATGTTAGATGAGTCACAATCTATTATTGTAACTCATATGATGAAAAACTGAAACCTGATCTTCCATCATTTGTGGATTTCAACTCCAGCTTCTGGAAAGGGCTGCAAAGGGTCCATGTGTTTTATGTCAAAATATTTTAAGAAAAGGATGAATTATAATTTTAAAAAATGCAAAATGATCAGATAATCACATGTGCAAGCTCTTTTCAGGTAATTTCAAGAAGTTGTTCAGTATAGCTTATAAGAATAAGTTCTTTCCAGCTTATTTTAAAGAGTTCTCTTGTCAAATATTGTATAAATATAATAAAATCTTATTGAATAAAAATGCTTAATTAAGCCATATTTCCATGTCCAAATGACTAGTAAGTATACTGAGATGAAGGCTAAAGAATTGGGATCACCATAATAAACCAATTCGAAACAAAAGAGAAGAGTACCTGCTGTTGGGATCGTAATAGAATCCACTGATAGAGCCATCACTGCAAGAAAAACAAACATAGTAAAAGCCGGCTATAGTTAACCCACAGTCAGTTCCAACATTCACAAAGTACTGCTCCTTCCATCTCTGCAACAAAGAGTTTAATGAAATTGTAAGAATTCTAATTCCAGATAAAATGAAACTTTTCACTATTTTCATTTTCTATTAGTGAAAATCAAATTACCATGAATATGTGAGGATAGTTGCTTAGGTCCAAAGACTTGCCACCGTCAACCTCGACTTGGCCCTGGTTAGTTGAGGAGCATTAGAAACATTACATGTGACACTTCTTACACATGAAAACAAAGTCTAGCTCATTACCACTAGGGGAGAAAAAGATGGAAACTTAGTCCAGTGCCTTATATCATCCTCTGGTCTGAGAAAATCGAAAGAAAAAGGAAACACAAAGTTTATCAAAATATAAAGAGTAAATATGCTTGTGGAGTCATGAGGCATTTTAAAACTATTATCCACACTAACATGTGGGGCATCATTAGTGTTATTTAAATTAAGTTCCAAGAATTAAGAGTTATGGCATAAGAACCTACGTTGCCTCCCATTTGCCAGTGAAGAAAGTATAATTCTTGGTATCAACAATCTCCCCTTCCCAGAATGTTACTACCTGACACAAATCATTAAAGTGAATGTCATGGAAAATTTTCTTCCTTTCTAGAAACCTTAAAGAATAGACAAGCAGGACATAGAAGGAAAAGACTGAAAAATTAGTTGATTTACATAATATACATGCTCTACATGTCCACACCATTCAAGAGTTTAAGGCAGGACAAGTATATATTTACAGCAGTTTCAATTTGAAGTTTTTACTTTTGCAAGAATCAAGATAGTTTAAAATTAGAGCTTCATTTAAGAAAAATCCTACAGAACATGTTATACCCTGTAATGAAACAAAATGTTCCATATTATCCACACAAGGGATAAAAGCACAGAAACTAATTCCTGGCAGGATCATAATGGTGACTGCAGAAAATAAAATGAGGAGTGTGATTATTAATGCATGTATGAACAGTTTCTTAAGATAAATTATTTTGATAAAAACGAGTATTGCAGATTAATGCTGTCCTAAATCAACAAATTCAATTTGCAATAAAACAGAAATTGATACAACAAATAGTTTGAATTGAACAAGACAAAAATCATAAACAAGCGTGTTTTCTAAAGGACAAAAGTGGTTGATTCTCTGTTTTCATTTTCAAGAGATAAAAGCATAAAAACTAATTCCTGGCAGGATCATAATGGTGACTGCAGAAAATAAAATGAGAAGTGTGATTATTAATGCATGTATGAACAGTTTCTTAAGATAAATTATTTTGATAAAAACGAGTATTGCAGATTAATGCTGTCCTAAATCAACAAATTCAATTTGCAATAAAACAGTAATTGATACAACAAATAGTTTGAATTGAACAAGAACAAAAATCATAAACAAGCGTATTTTCTAAAGGACAAAAGTGGTTGATTCCCTGTTTTCATTTTCAAGATGAAAAATAGAGAAATTGCTTACTGGCGTGTCTGCCATAGGAACATTAAGTGCTTCCATGGTGCCACATAGATACCCATGCTCAAGGTCACATCCTTGTATACGGACATTTACTCTCCATGCTTCATCTTTTTGAGCGCTTGAAACATTCTGGGTCCCAGAAAAGGCCTGTAAATATAAAACTCCTTGAGTACATGCTGAAACTTTGAACTTATAATAAGATGACGTTTTACAAAAGATGTTAAATCAAATTCAGTGGTTTAAAAGTTGAAGTTGTTTCATTAGGACTATGCATCATTGGTACAACAACCAGCAAGCCCTAGTTGGTATGTATATGGTACAATACAACCACATATAAAGCTTGGATACAATCCAGTACTATTTGTCTCCAAGCCAGCACCATAATTCTATTTGAGCATTGAAATAGAAATGTCTCCCACAGGCCAAATGCAGAGTTGTAGACCGTAATGTCATTACTCATTCCTCAGTTTCCAATATCTGGCTGTAAAGGTTTTTTATTGTATTGGTTTGGGATTCAATAATAAATTTATTTTATTATGTCTTTGTAAAAAGGTTAGTGAGTATTACATTACTGATACATTCTAATCTTTTGTATTATTTTGAGTTTTATAAAAATTTGATTTGGAAGATTATTATGTCAATGGAATACGTATATACTTTTATTTTTTACATACATACTTTCCAAACCCATTCCCTACCAACCACCAACCAAGCCTTATCCCACTCCCAAACCTATGCCTAATTTGTGAAAAAATTACCAATCCTGTAGCCATGCAACCTAGCTCTAGTCTCTAGGCAATTTCTATACACTATCCTTAATAAGACTGGATATGAGAAGCTTTTCTCTCCCATCTTCCAGTCCCAAGTTCTTAAGTACAAATGGAGAACAGAAATAAAACTTTAGCAGTACATTTAGATTATATTTAATCACTACCTGACTACAATATCTGTTAAAGATTCATGTAAATAACAAAAGGCATTAATACATATTCAGTAGAACAAATCAAGTTTGAACTTATATAGCAAAATCACTCTTGTATTTTTCTAAGACACATTTTATCCATGTGATATGCACAGTTTACCATTATGCACCAAGATAACTGATTGTCATGGCATTTAGAATTAAGAAAAATATATGCAGTACATCACTACCAAGGACATAACTGGAATACATACCATAACCTTGCTAGTAAGCTAATTTTGAGGCATATAAAGGGTGTGCTTAATTAATTGCTGTTAAACAATATGAAACCAGAATCTCTTCAAATGCTAGCTTCTTAATCAGAAATTGACAGCACAAACATTTTTTTATCACATGATCTATCTCTCAGGGCCTCAAAAGGTCATAGAGGAACAGGTGCCAACAGAAGAAAATTCCTGCTCGGTATATGTCAAGTTATTGTACTTGGTAAAGATAAAGATTAAAAAGATGAAGTAAAAATGGACATTTTATGGATGAGTAAAGGTCATTCCACTCCATCCCACACTATCATTTTCCTCGAAAAGTAGTTTACAAGTTGAAGCGAAGAATCACAGACTCGCTCTACTGTGTGGTATAAGCTTTATTAATCTTCTTTGCCATCAATAGTCGGCAACACATAATCCTTAAAATAGGGCTCAATCATAACATGTATATACAACTACCATCCCCATTGAGATCCAATATAAGCTCAACCACATTTACCCAATGAATATATAAGTCTCAGGTACCCACATACATTCCCATCGTCAAAGGCTAATCCTACATACTAATTTCAAACCCAAAATGATTAACAGCACAAAAATTAAACAAAAACGTTAGAAAGTACCTGCCCAACTCCTAGAAGACTACAAGATTGGAATGAACTCCGCCCCGAATTTGCACCTAACACAAACAATTAAACGAAGACTGAATTAGCGGTTGATAATAACATCAATAATCTACAAAATCAACAGACACAAAGAGTTAAAAAAAATTTTAAAAAAAAGGAAAATTCAGAACACGCCCCTTGACCAAAGGTTGGAGGACAAAGAGTTAAAAAAAAAAATTAAAAAGGGAAATCGCAATTTGTTTTGTAATTGCAGGGTGAGATGGGAAATGACGCACGTTGAAAACAAAGAGTCATAAAAAAGGAGGGGGAATTTCAGAACATGCCCATTTAGCAAAAATTAGATAAGGGCACCAAAAGAACAAAAATTTGCATTTTTGTTTTATCTTTTTGGAGGTAATTGCAACATGATATGAGAAATTAGTATTACCTGAAACCTGAGAAGGTGTGGTGTTCTCCAATACCCTCACAGGCATGTTCCTTAGATTGTTACCAGAGAATGCAGAGATTGGTAAGTGTGTGTGGGTGGGAATTAGGCACACAGACACAAATTAAAATGCCAGAAGAGTTTCAACTTTAATAATATATTGAGCTATGCCATTGAAGATACGTAGTGAAGATGGTTATTGCTAAAATATCTGGCCCAAAGCTGAAAGCCCACCTTAACTTCGAATCACGTTCAAATTTTCTGTCACGTGTCCCTCCTCTCTTTAAGTGATAGATTAGAGGTGAAAATTACACCTTTATTCCCTCTCCCTTAGAAAAATTAAAACTTACTGATATGCACCGGTAAGTTGTGTTATATTATACCACACATTAATTATAAAAATTTATTTTTTTATAAAAAATATAATATTATAAAATTAAATACATTAGCAATATTAAATAACATAATTTTAATTAAAATAATATTTTTTCTATTTTAACACATGAAACACAATAAAAAATTTTAAATTATAATATATAATTAACTTATACAGATTTAAAAATAAATCATACTTTTATAGAATAATTTTATGATGTGAATAAAAATTTATAATTTTCAAAATTATAATTATATTTAGGAGTGACAAAATAGTTTAATTTAGCCGGTATGTTTCGCCAAAAGTCTATCTAAAAATGGGTACCTATTCACGTCTTATTTAAAAATGGGACAAATTTTCTAGCTCTGCTCATTTAAGATTGGGTTGACGAGCTAACGAGTTAGTCCACAGAAAATAAAAATAAAAATAGTTAGTAGGTCATTGGATTAATGGGTTAGCTTACCGAAAATTAACCAAAAAATAAGAAAAAAGTTACAATAAGTAATAAATAATTATTTTAAAATATTTTTATATTAATAAAATTTAATATTTAATTATTTTTATTTTTAAAAAATAATATTTAGTAGGCTAAAACAGGGCGAGCTAGTGAATTCATAAGATTCAACTCAGTCTACCAACTTTGGTGGGCTAGATAGGTTTGTTCGTAGGAACAGGTTTCATTTTGACACTTCTAATTATATTTAACAATTAAATACTAATTATATAAGAAAGTAAACAATAATTAAATATACAAAATATTATTTTAAAAATATGAAAGAGATAGTAGCATTAAGAGTTATTTTTATTATTTAAAAAAAAACACATAATTTTATCTATTTCTTTTAATTTACATCTTTAAAGTATAAGTGTATAACTCTTTTAATTTTATTTATCTATTTCTTTTAATTTATCACTCTTTTAATTGGGAGAGAGTTTTTTAAAGGAAGAGAAGGGAATGTTGACATATTTTTAAATTTTAAATTAAAAGAATTATATATAATTTATTATGACAAATATATTATTAATACATTATGTTAATATACCAATTTATATCTTTTATTTTAAAAAAATATTAATTTTAAATATATTTATTTAAAATATAAATTTTGCTCTCTCTTCCAAAATCTCCCTTCTCAAACAATCCCTAAGTGACTAAGACTATTGTCAAAAGAACACATCAAAGTTATGGATGTAGGTAATTCTCTCAATATCTTGATTATGTGAGATTTCTGAAATTCAAGATCATAATGTTGTGGTAATTTTTGGAATTGAAAACATAAATGAGAAAATAACAACTATTAATTGGTATAAGAGATTTTGGTTGTAAATTTCATGATTCTCTAGATTTCCTTTAAAAATGGTAGTGGTTGTTTTCCTTAATCTATATAAACCTTATTGAGTGAATTGTGAGAATTAGAGTAAACCATAATTGTTGTAGAATTAATTCTCCTTATCTCACAATTATAATGATACTTTGTGGTGTAAAGATTGCGATGAATGTTAATGTTATGGATTTGGCAAGTTACCAAGCTTTCGATATAATATAAAGGATTGTTGTATTCGCAGGGAATGTGGGCGCTTAAACGATTTTAGATGTCCAATTTAAAATGAATGCAAATATAAATAAAAGCAAATTAAACTACTATGATAAGATTAGGGATTGGACTTCATATATCATCCTTTTCATATTTTGGTTCTAACACACATTAACAATTACCAAAGTTCTATGATGCACTCTAATTATATTCACTCATTGGATTCCTCTCACCCAAGATTCTAATATGTATTTATTGAGTGATAATTTCTTACCTAAATATCTAACATTACTAGCAAGAGTTATATAGCATACAATAGATTAAAATCTATTCCTAGAGTCCCAGCCTATTATGTGTATTTACCCAAACTGGGTTACAAGGTAGTTTTCCAACTCATCCCGAATTCTTGAATCATAAACCATTCCTCGTAGGGTAGAAATAAGCATTAATATCAAAATAAACACACCTAACTCATGACAAATGAACAAACGTATATAAAAAATACCAAAACATTCAGAGTATAAAGATTACATCAAATCCCTAAAGTTCTAGCCGTTCATGGCATACATTATAATAAGAAAATACAAGGAAAAAATGACAGAAATTAGTTCTTCCAATGATTCATGATCACTTTCCCAAGCTCCTCAACTACTCTGCAATGCCAAATTAGGTCACTGTATGTTAAGGCTCTAAATGTAACACCCAAATTTTCTTCACTCTATAAATAATTTATGAATTATATCAATCTCATTGAATAAAAAATAAGTAGATCACAGAGACTTTAGAACTAAAATTTTTTTTAACAAAATTGAGTAATATAAAAAAAAAATAAATATCAAAAAATTTATTTAACAATTTTAGACTATATAAAATAGTTTTATATGAATTATAAGAGATTTTGAAAGAGCCAAAAATATAAAATAAATAAATATAAAAATTTTGACTAAAATGACCAAAATACTCCTAAAAACACCTGGAATGGAGGCCCCTTTTGGACAAGCAAACGAATGAGATAAATTCTGAAATTTTTATGGTAAGTTATTGGATCAAATAGGGTTATGAATTTCGAGAAGCAACTCAAAAATCCAAGTAAAAAATTGAAACCAAATTCCTCAAAAACAGCCCACATATGATGTGGAAAATGGCCCATTTTGTGCCAAAAACTTGCAAAATTTGTAACCTACCCAACCCAATTCACTTTGAATGTTTTATTGGCTTGAAATAGAAGCCAATTGGATAGTAATTGAAGTGTGTAATAAGCTGAAATGAAGTAGCCAATAAGAAAGGAAAGCATGTGAAGTAAGTTAATGTTTCATGACTAAGAGTTTGAATGAAGTGCAAGATTCAATTCCCATCCAATTTTGAGATTAGGATCCATGAATACCCCAGCAAAATGGGACTAGAAGTTACGCTCTAAATCAACTAAAAAAATTAGAGATCAACCAAAAGGATTTAAGTGCAATTGGATAAGGAATTTAAGGACAAAGAGTCATGATGGAGGACAATTTTGGCATTAGGAAAGATGGCCATGTGTAGGCTTATGAGAGAAGCCTCAATTGAACCCCAAATTAAATCTCCACACTTGTTATAAGAGGGAGTAACCGTGAGGGGCCAACAGAGAGAGAGAAAGAAGCCAAATTTTTTTAAAACTCCACGTAATGAAAAAAGGCCATTTTCACATAGGAATGGAGTAACCATGCAAGGGAAAAAGAGTTTCCAAACTTAGCAACCTTCAAATACTTATACAATTAGTCCCACACCTATCTCTTGAACCCCACCAAGTTGAATCATCCATCAACTTACCATCAAGGTCCTAAAGTAGACACTAAACCCCCTAAAATCCACAAAGTAACAAACTTTCTTGATGGAGGCCTTGATCACGTGGAAGAGGAGACTAAAGGAGGTGGAAGATCACTTTTAAGAGGATGAAAAGAGCAAGAGAATGAAAGAAAGAGGACTTCAAAAAGATTAAGCTAAGATCAACCAAAAATCAAGTAAGGGGAGAGTATTATTTCATAAATTAAGGAAATATTTTGCTAAATGAATTTTTGAGTCAAAGGGGAGCCTTTAACCCTTTTTATATGATAAAAATTTCGTGGCCTTAGTGTACATATGAAAGAAGAATTGATTGGAAAAAGAATACACAAGAAAATCACTAGAATAGCAAAAGCAAGAAGTTTTGCAAGAAAATTGAAATTAACTGTAAAATGGTATTTTAATGGAATTTTGTTAATGACTTTATTTGCTATGTGTAATTTTCATGAATCCATGATATATTCATGTGGATTTATGCTTTAGAAATTGATTAGATGGACTTTTGGAATTTTCTACGAATTTGCATATTTTCTATCATGGAATAAATGAATTTTTTGTAAAAATTGTTTGTAAGTGTGTATTATGAAAATTTTCTCTTTAATCCATGTTGTGTGACTTGATTTGAGTATAATTAAGTGAGATCTATGATTTTCTCCTTGGTTTGGATTATATTGGAGTTAAAAAGTATTTTTAGGATATTATTCAAGATTTTCATATGAAACTTTAATAAGAAAAGTGTAACATCCTCAATTTCTTAGTTAAAAATAAATAAGTTTTTATAGCAAAAGGGAAAATAGAAGAATTTTGTTCTATTTTATAGATTTAATAATTGAATAAAAGTAAAACTGACATTTTTCTTATGAAAATTTTATAAGATTTCAAAGTATTTAAAACTTTCAAAGGAATAATTTTTGAGACTTTAAAGTGATAGCTAAAACTTAAATTTAAGTCTAGCAAATTATTTTGGTTCAAAATGCATGCATATAATTCTGAGACATAATCAATGACACTTTAAAAATTATTAATTACAACAAAATTTATCAAAGTATTTTAAAATTCTAAAATTCACATTTAAAGTATTTACAGTACTTTGTCAACTTAAAATGTAAATCTAATAAAATATTACAATTCTTTAAATTATTCTAAACTCTACAGAGCAGTCTTCTTTCACAAGGTCACTAGATTATCGACCTAAGACGGACCAACCACCTTTATCTCTTTACTTTTATCACCTGAAAAATATTAGTAACGGTGAGTATCTCCTGCCTCACTAAATCTCTTATTTGACAGAAGAAAAGTATATATATATATATAAACAAAATACTAAAAATATTATCTAATATATATGTATTGGATTAACAATAACATTCCGAGCATATAAATCATTGTCACAGCGTAGCACATACCCAACAAATCAATCAACTTTTCAATTATTTATGGCATAC